ATATCTTGAGTCAATTGTGCTGTTCTTTTGAGAAAATAGTAGGTTGTATTTGCCTTAACTTCCAAAAGCCCTCGAGAAACCAAGGCAGAGTCCAGTAACTTCACTTGTCAGGGTCTTTGCCTTTGAACTGCAGCATTCCAGAATACTCAAACTGAGTTAAAGTCTTCTGCCTTTGTTTTGCTGCAGATCAAAGTGAAGTTACTGTTTTACTGCAGTGAAGTTAAGGCGTTATGCCTTTGTTTTACTATCTGTCATCAAGCACTTAATTGTGCCATGATCACTAGATTTCATGTATATGTTATCATTATTATCATATACTGACTTAATATAGTGATCAGCAACCAAGGGAGCTAACAAATGGAAGTTACTGCCTTTTGCCTTGGCATGACCCCTTATTATTGTACAGGCCATGCAACGGCAGAGTACCTTAACTTCCAAATAAGGGTCAAAGGTCATGTTTAAGCTCAAGATTTTTATGAACATTAATAACCTGATTAAAAGACAAAGAATTGCCACATTTCCAATATTCTGCCTGCAACTCATTTGGCTGGACAACAAAAAGACTTTAAAGTCATTTTTCTCAGTTGTACACTCTGGCGACTTAAGGTCTTTTGCCTTTGTAGGGCAGTATAGGCTATATATATATTTTTAAAAACTTTGATAAGAGCATGTTTCCTACCATTACATTGTCGTTCATGTCCCTCATGTGGTAGGCATCCATAGAGCTCTCTGCAACACAGCGATGGCTCCCTGGGGTGCTGGTAGAAGGCACTGGACGCTCACCTGGCTGGCTGCCCGGGGGGAGCTCAAAGTAGGTGCTGTCAGGCTCCCTGAGAAACACAACAACCACTAAATTATCACAGAGGGATGGCTTTTAAAAATTGTACAGTGTAAAAAAGCACATTTGTGTCACTGTAACTAAAAGTAGGCTATTTTTGTGATTGATTTCTCAAATTATTGGAATATTTAGCGACTCAATGTTTTATTATAAGAAGATAAGGACAGAATTGTACATGTTTTCATTCAACATTTTTAATGCTAGCATTTTGAAATTAGGATCACTGGACAAAAAGTAAAAAAAATAATCAGCAGGTTTTTCTGACACTCACAGGGAGCTCCACAGGTGCTCAAAGGTGCCTCCTTCTTCAGTAACTGTGGTCTGGGACATCTTAGAGTCTGGTGAGGGGCAGATCACCCTGCAGAGCACACACACACAGGTAAGCATATCAGCAGAAAACTATTAAGAATAACAGAGTTTGGTATGAGAAGGAATAAAATAATGACTTTGAAGATGCTAGAATCCAAATAAAACTATAGTTTCTACATGATTACTTGGATAATCAGTGTTCAAAAAGGACAGGATGGAGTTCAAAACATACACAAACACACATACACACACATTCATCCAGGTGTGATCACACCAATGTAGTCCCAGTGAGGTGGCACAAGGTGTCAGAGGGCCTGTGCATGCCCAGACCTGTCTGCCTCATCGTGGTCTCCCTCTGAGGAGAAGCTTCCTTCTTTCTTTCTGCAAAGTGTGAGCATCACCTCCTCCGTTTCTGTCTCACTTAACATAACCTGCACAGCAACCTTTTCAAATTGTTCAGATGAACTAAAGCAGAAACTAGTAAATTGACAGAATTTAGTTGATGAGGATATTTCATTCTGGTTGTTTGAATCGCGACGGTTTAGCTTTATCGTCAGAGTGTAGAAAAGTATAGGCTACCTTCAATGGAGACATCCATAGCTCTTTGCTGGCAGTTTGATTCACATCATTCGATTTGTTGAATAAATCCGTGTTACAGACAATCGATGGAATTAAGCTGTTACATTGAAGTCTTTTTCTCCAGTTTGTTGTGTCTATGAACAGGCCTAAATCCAACACTAACCCTGTCAGACGTTGTTGATCTTACCAAAGTTTACTAAATTCACAGTCGCACCACTGCAGCGTCATATCTCCTTAGTAACCCCTCTGTAGGACTGCTCAGGAAAAAAAACTGTGGCAAAGGTGCATGGCTTTAAAATACGCTGCAACAAATAAGCATGTAGCCTACTCAAACAGGTCCTCTGGAATTAATGAAGAAGACGAATTTCGCTGCAGGTAGGCTGGACTAAGACTTTGAGTTTTGATATGAATTATTTGTTACTTAACAGTGACCGTGTCAGTTTAAATTGTTTCATTTGTACTGTAACCTTATCTCTTATCCTACATGTTACAGGTTGTTTTCACTGTCGATCGAAGACAGTCTGCTCAGTAAACATCTGAATGGACGTCATGACTTCTGCACAAAGGCTGTTTTTCTTTTTGAAGCATAGAAAAATAGCCTCAGAGCCAGGCTTATCGAATCTCGTGAATCATATCACACCTGTCCCTAAATAAACAAATAAACTAGTTAAGATGTCTAATAAAAAGCCTACATGAATAAATAAATGAATGAATAAATAAATAAACAATACAAAAATAAATCAATAAATACAAGACTGAGTTCATGTAACAATGAGTAGAAAACAGCGCGCGGACATAGTGAATATAGTGAATTGCGCAGCTCCACAGAAACTGTGTGCCTGCAGGTTCCCGCTGTTCCTGAGGTTGCTGGCGCCTCAGAAACCAGCTTCCATTCCCAGCTCGCGTCTTCCTCAGAGCCTAACAGCTCCTGTTATTCAGGCTATTTGACAAAGCATCATTGCAAGACGATAAGAGCTGATGTTGTCTCCAACCGGGTATACAGGGAATTAAAAAAAAAAAATTAAGAATAGACACGACTTCCAGATCGTTTGGTTTGTCTTTTTTACAAGCATAAAAGAATGGGGAAATGTGACTACATCCAAATCATGTACATCAAAGAACATAGATAGATAGATAGATAGATAGATAGATAGATAGATAGATAGATAGATAGATAGATAAATAGACAGATAGATAGATAGATAAATAGATAGATAGATACATAGATAGATACATAGATAGATAGATAAATAGATAGACAGACAGATAGATAGATAGATAGATAGATAGATAGATAGATACATAGATAGATACATAGATAGATACATAGATAGATAGACAGACAGATAGACAGACAGATAGATAGATAGATAGATAGATAGATAGATAGATAGATAGATAGATAGATAGATAGATAGACAAGTTGAATGCTATTATTTATTATAGGCCGTCCCCATGCTCTGACATAAAATATTTCTATTTTAATGTTAAATGGTTAAATATTGCTCTCCTATATTTTATATTGTAGAGGCTACCAATAATTCTACCTGTTCTTTCTGCAAAACACGGCCTCTGCTGGTTCTTTGCTAAATGCCATGCCACCCTTTAAATCTGACAATGAGTTTATCTGACGTTCACCTGTCTCTACTTTGTGTCTCCACTCCTGGGTAACTGCCCCCATGACAACATAGACACACATGCATACACTCTCTTCCTTCCCAAAGGGCCATTTTTTTTTTTGCAAGGAAATAAATCCCAACTGAGATGATATTAATTTCAAAATAATATTCAATCCTCCACAGCCCAAGTGGAATATCTCACACGCCAAATGAGGACCTACAGGAGTCTGTCGTCATTGATGTGTCAAAGAGTCTATCGTCTTTTGATGTGCATTTTTGACGCATAGGCCTACATACGCATACAGCTGACAAAAGCCAAACACATTTAAACACAAAAAAATAGATATTATAAAAATGTCTACAAGAAAAAATAGTCTAAACTTTAGGCTTATGGCCGACGAGTAAAATAGGCTTAATTAAACATAGATTGCCCTTGATACAAACACATGATGTATTCGATAGACTTATAGGTTTATAAAGCAAAACCAAAAGAAAAACTCAAAACAAGATTGTACGATTTTCCAAATTTCTGCTGGCTATATTAATTATCCATAAAACAAGGCATAACCTACAATATTTTCAGACCTGTAGGTTAGTTTTTATTTGAAAGCTTATTTGATAAAACTACCTTCCTCATATTGCAAATGCCAGATAGCCTAGGTACGATACAAAAAAGTCAAAAAATAAAAGGAGCAAAGACAATTATTAGATATGAGGACTACAATCCGAGTAGTTAACAAAATTGCTTTATTTTTATTGCTAACATGCACGAATTGTTTTCTGTTAAATAACCGATTAAAAATAAATAGGCTGGCCTATATTTTACGCCCCGTGATATTTGCCATATTCACACGTTTTATTTATTATCTGACATACTTTTACAACAACATAGGCTACGTCGACAAAGTGCTCGCTGTAGCCTATTGAATAACAATATTAATAAACGCCACATTAGTTCAATATGGCAAACACTAATAAGACATGGAAACAAATCAACGTTGCCTACCTGAAGGTTAATATTATTCAAATCCAAAAACCAAAGCCTTGGGTCGCTCCGTGCAATTGCCTGTTTGTTTTCGAACATGCCAAGAGAGTGACCCTCCATAAAAACACAACATCAATACAAACAAAAAAAATCGACCAAATTAACAGTAGGCCTATGATAAGAGGTCCTGGAGGACATTGACTTTTCGGAGAAAGATACAGCAGGAAAACTGATTTGCATGCTGTTCAGGGAAGTGTGATCTTTGCAGAATTAGCTCAAGGAGGAGGTGAAGCGTTTTTTTTGCGCTGGGAGATGCAGGGAGGCGGTAGCGCGATTTGGGTGCACATAAGCGGGAAACCTTTTATAGGAGAGAACTTGAGTAGAAGTAGAAGTAGGCTACCTCTGATTTAAACAGAACATTGTAATGTGAATAAACAAATAAACTGCAAACTAAAGCGACACTTTTTTTAAATGCAAATTGAGAGAATATTTCGAGTAGTCTAGTCTATAACATTGGCTACAAATATGCTACTGCAAGTCTAGGGCCTTCTCAAAAAAACGTATTTTCAGCAATATCGAAAATATTGTTGCTTTTACTTTCCCACACGCGCACATTAAAAGCGGTTATGAAGTAACACAATCATTAACTACATTTCCCAGAAGGCAACAGAGCGCAGAACGATAATGATTGGACAATACGGGTGTGTCGTTATTGATCAACAGCTTGACCACCCGAGGACAGTTATGCGAAGAAAAAAACTTTTCTAAAGTACTTATTGGACTTTTGGCAGCTCATCAGATCTCGTAAAGCAACATAACTTCCGCGGGAGAGAAGTTTAACCACCGAGTGCGAAGGTAGTGAAGGTTAGCTACCTACTAAGTAGCGTTAAATGCTATCATGACTTTTGAATGAGTCCAGTGATGATCGGTTACAGTAGCCTTTACTGTAAGCTCGACGTAAATTGCTAATATCTTTCTAATATTCACAGTTACGTCGTACAATGACATGGGGTCGCAGTTTGGACAAGCTTCATTTTAGGCTATATTTTGCTTTGACTACTTCTTACAGTCGTTAGCACGCTAGCTAGGCTAACGTACCTGCCTGAAGCTCGGCTCTCTGCTTCTAGGTCGTGTTTTAAAACGGACTCAATCACTTTACGTGCTTCTTGAGATTGTTATTAAGAAACTTGCATAACGATTAATTTTGCTTGAGAAAATAGTTTCTTTGTTGTATGTGACTTGTGTTTGCTGTGAAAAGCATGCTTATTCAATGGACTTACTGCGCCACCATGTGTTGATATTTGGAAATGACAAAAGTGCATTCGAATAAGCAGTAAGCAGTTATTACAACCCATTTGTTGAGTTAAAATCTTTAAATTATAAATGCCACGTTAACTGTATATTTATTTTGTATAGGAAGAGCTGTATTATATGATGAATTTCTCAGAGGTCTTCAAGCAATCCAACCAGCTTTGTAAAGTTTCTCCGGATGGGAAATATTTGGTAAGAGGTTGAAATCTATTTCTTTGTTTTCTATGTGGTTTGGTGTAGTATAAATAATACTTTCAACTTATTTTACTCCCTTTGCCAAGTTGCTAATTAAAGAAGTGTGTTTAAAGTCTTGTTTGTTGTGACTTATCATTGGGGCTGAATTCCTCAGGCTACCTGTGTGCAGTACAGACTGGTGGTGCGGGACATGAGCACCCTGCAGATTCTACAGCTCTACACTTGTCTGGACCAGATATCCCATATGGAATGGTCTTCAGACTCTCTCTTAATCCTCTGTGCTATGTACAAGAGAGGAATTGTACAGGTAAGCTCCGATAAGAGATCAGTGATGTGAGCAGTTAGTGTGAAGACTGATCAGTAAAATGCTTTGCAGTTGACAGTCAATACTCTGTTTGAGTTTTTCTACTAATTGTGATCAGATTCATAAAGTTTTGCTTTGAATAGCAGAAAATTATTTTTGCATTCTTTCCCTTTTTAATTCCGTTATAGGCCTACTTTGACGGATAAAAATTCAGAATGTGTACGCACCATGCTATTTGTTTATTTATTTGGTTGCTGGGATAGTATACATCATTTTGAAAAGATGAAGTTGTATTAGTAGTTTCATTTCATTTTGTTATTAAGGATTTAGTAATAATTTTGGAGAAATTACCAGGGAGTATGGAAAGCTTCATTATGAGTCTTTAAAGGGGCTATATGTAACTTTCAAAAATACTGCGTTAGGAGCGATACCGCAGGCCGTTAGGCGAACTGCACCAGTAACCTGTGCTTGCTCTCCCTCATGTGGTCCTCATACGTGCCCGTACGTACACAAACAAGCATCATCATTATGAAACACTGGATATTTAGCGGCATAATGTTTACAGAGGAGGTAAGTGGTCATACACATGTGAAAGTCTGTGAAGGAGTCTGTGTGTCTGTATTCATTCTCCATCCTACAAACGACAGTCTCTGCAGGCACTGGCTGAGAGCAGGAGTGTGTGATGAGTTTGTACTGTTGATCTCTGTAAGCGGAGCGGAGTGAGGAGGATGTTGAAAACGTGCAGAAAATGTCACTTCCTGGAACTTTCGTGGAAAATACAACCCGGGGAAACTTTTTATACAGGCAACACAGATAGACAGTGAACATCTACTTTTTCACATCAGTTAACTGTTCGCTTATTAATGGGCGATAAAAAACGATTTATACATGTAAAAAGTTACATATAGCCCCTTTAAACAATATTTAAAAAGTATAAACTACTCCAAATAGATAGCAGGATTTGAAAGTATCAACGATCTTTCTTTATCTGTGACGTGGATCGGCACCATCAGTCCGATATGTAAATGTTGTCAATATCAGGCCCAATACCGATATTAGATCAGATCGGTCCCATCTCTAGTTTGATGGTTTGTTAAATAGTTAAAAAACAAAAGAGCTGCATTGATTAAACCATGTTCTGTATAATTGTGTTATATCAGTAACATACCTTTGTAACGGGATCCATCGCCAGTCTTTCATGGTCTCTGAGGCTCTGGAGTTCCTTACACTGTGAAAGCTTGATTAAGGAGATCAAAGATGTGTGTGAAGGATGTCATCAGTGATGGCTGCTGCCTGTCTTGCTGACGGTCAACGTCTGTCTTTCTCTTTAGGTGTGGTCTCTAGAACAGCCGGACTGGCACTGTAAGATTGATGAAGGCTCGATAGGGCTACTCTCCTCTCGCTGGAGTCCAGATGGACGTCACATTCTCAACACCACTGAGTTCCATGTAAGTGTGAAGTCGGTGTTTGAGTGTGTGCTTATGAATATGCTTGTCTGGTTTCAACTGTTGCTGGCCCACAAGGAAGGGGGTCCTGAAAATAGCCAGACACCAGAGCCTTTCTTGAGCGCCCCTATACCCCCCCCCCCTCCCCCACACACCTGATGCATGCTGTATTCAGCATGATTTCATAGCTCGCCTCCTGTTAGCGTCCTGTCATACACACTCTCAAATACCACTGGAACATGAGTGCAATGTGTATGTGCCTTACTAGTTAAATACCGGGATTACCGGGATCAGCAAGTCCTATTGGAGATGTTCAGTTGCCCAAATAATAGTGATACGACTTAACAAATATAAAAGAAGGGAAGAAAATCAGTGGTGTAATGCAACCTGAAGCAGAAATTGTGCTATGTTTTTTTAAGAGTTGCTTATCAGTAGTGAATTTATCAGCAAGTCTGAAGTGCTCAGGAAAATTATAACACAGATCTACTGGTAAAAGTGAAAGGGATTTGTTTTTTTACTCCATTCAGTGCAATGGTATCAAACCACACGTTACACTTTGAAAGCTTGCAAAAGATATTAAAAAAGAGCTTATTCGCCCAAACATGGTTTCCTTGCATAGATAAAGAGCTGTGTTACTTAATTGGCTGTACATTGGTATATCATTGACACATTTAATGTGTCATGGTACAACTGTTATTCCATTTACTGACAGCAGCTTGGCTTCACTTTTCATTTTGTATTGAAATAATATGCTGTATGAGAAGCTTACATTGGCCCAGCATATTGGCATAGGCATGAATGGAGACATTTATGAATTGAGACTTTGTGTTTAGTAGTGCGTAGATAACTAATGGTTCAGCAATCGTTCACTACTGCATGTTGCAATGAGAAGTTTTTCTCTATTTTTGTTACCTATATAATGGAGCACTCCTTTGGTAGTGGGTTAACTGCTGGAAATTATTTGCATCACATTTTTGACCCTAATATAAAAAGATTACTTACTGATGTACATATGTACGTTTTTATATTGTGATAAAAATCAATACTTATACAATACAATACTTTGCTAAACATAAACTTCTCATGAAGATGAAAAGGACAGGGATGGTGAGTGTTGTTTATGCAGGTCTGCTGAATGAAAGCCAGACTAATAAAGATGCATTTAGTTCCTCTCTTGACTCCTAGTTTAAATTCACTCCATCGTAAGTGCATGCTGTAAGGGGCGAGAAGCTGCAGCAGCTACCAGAGAGCCATGTGGAATATTATTGGGGGGGGTGCACCATGGTGGGCCATGTCTGTCATGCTGAACCTGACTCCAAGAATCATTTGACAGGTGTCGTGGCCAAACACACAACTGTGTCTGGTCTGGAGAAGGGTGCAAGGAGTGCAAGTGTCTGTGGCATGTCTGCTTTGTGTCTGTCTGCATCTTCTAAAAAAAAGAGAGAGAGAGAAAGGAATGGTACAGAAAAGACTGTGCCCCCCTACGAGTAATGGCATCCTCATAGATCAGATTAGTTCTTAGAAAGAAAAGTCATCTTATGTTGAAGTGTTTAAAGCATTAAATCAGCGAGTTCAAATGATCAGAATGATGAGTATCTGTGTCAAATGACTTGTTATTAAAAGCCCCATTGCTAGTGACAACTGTAGCAAAGTTCCATTTTATAGCCTTATTTTTTTTAAACGCTACCTCGTTTTAGAGACAGTAAATAATAACAAGTTTAAAAAAAAAGTTAAATGGTAAAATAATAATTTTAGGTGAGTCATTTCATTTTGAGAAGCAGCTGAAACCCATTTCTTCTGTTTCCTTGTCATGAACATTTATTTAAATCAATCTGATGTATAGGCTTGACTATCACATAGCCTTGGCATGCATTCATAAATTACAGAAATGACAAACTATAAAATTACAACTCCTCCCATGTCCCTTGTTACTAACATACCGCAGAGGGATTTAGGAATGTCTTGCACGTTTACACCTGGTAATACCATGCACTTTCCTGGGTGATCAAATCACAAATAGGCAGCTCTATGTAATATACAGCAGTTCACACATTGCATAAGAATATGTTTACACTCGCGTCCCCAGAGACTGCTTGTGATCAGATCTCATTCCACACTGAATATGCAAAAATCAAAACATCACTTGCATCATATTTATTACAGTAGACATCACCTGCTAAAAGCGAGATGGGGAACTGTCCTGTATTGATAAAATGCATTGTGCTTCACTGAAGCAGTTCAGGCTGCAAAAACTGATTTCTATATTATCTTTTACTGCTCTTTTTGAATACAAAAATACTATGGCTATGTCCCATTTAATGAGGGTGAGGATAGATCATATCACAGTGCTCGTTGAAGGCTCCTTGAAAATGTGTCCAACAAGGCGTCCTTTTTTCCCAATGAATGATCCATCCGGTGCATCCTTCATTGCCCAACTTATCCTGAGATATATTGAAGAATTATTTTTTCTTCTGTTTGGAACCTTTTTTATAGGCTAACTAAAGCCTGTTTTTTTTATTTTGATGTTGTATAGTTACTAATAATTCAATGAGGCATTTTTTTATAAAAAGTGAAAATGGCCTTTTTAAAAAAGAAATTGTGTCTAAAATACAAGAAGGATTTAAAGAAAAAAAACCTAATCAAATAGAAACACATTCAGCACAAATGGGAGAATCTCTTTAAATAAACGGAGTTGCAGTAGTCATACAAGAGAAGCCTGCAGCTGACAGCGCCCTCTACTGGTTAATAAAGTATATTGTGTGTACACTTCCGTCAAATTGATTTAAATTGTCAGTATTTGTATCAGTTCTTAATTTTATTGTGAGATATCCTTTCCTCCTATTCTGCTTAATTAAAGGGGCTATATGTAACTTTTTACATCCTGTTACAAAGGTATGTTACTGATATAACACAATTATACAGAACATGGTTTAATCAATGCAGCTCTTTTGTTTTTTAACTATTTAACAAACCATCAAACTAGAGATGGGACCGATCTGATCTAATATCGGTATCGGGCCTGATATTGACAACATTTACATATCGGACTGATGGTGCCGATCCACGTCACAGATAAAGAAAGATCGTTGATACTTTCAAATCCTGCTTCCTGAGTAGTTTATACTTTTTAAATATTGTTTAAAGGGGCTATATGTAACTTTTTACATGTATAAATCGTTTTTTATCGCCCATTAATAAGCGAACAGTTAACTGATGTGAAAAAGTAGATGTTCACTGTCTATCTGTGTTGCCTGTATAAAAAGTTTCCCCGGGTTGTATTTTCCACGAAAGTTCCAGGAAGTGACATTTTCTGCACGTTCTCAACATCCTCCTCACTCCGCTCCGCTTACAGAGATCAACAGTACAAACTCATCACACACTCCCGGTCTTCACCTCCACAGCCAGAGGCCGTCTTCCACACACTTCTATCCACCCTAGGAGCTCTCAAAGGCGGACAAACTCATCACACACTCCTGCTCTCAGCCAGTCCCTGCAGAGACTGTCATTTGTAGGATGGAGAATGAATACAGACACACAGACTCCTTCACAGACTCGACCAACGGCCTGCTGTATCGCTACAAACGCAGTATTTTTGAAAGTTACATATAGCCCATTTAAGCCTAAAGTACCCTTAAACCTAAAATAACCTTTATGTCACAAGACATTTAACATATGTTTACATAAACGACTTAACAAAAACATTGATTGGTGTTTTTCTGGTTTAAGAGTAGCTTTTCATGGTATTTACCACCTTTATCCATCAGCTGAGCAGGACGTTAAGGACTGCATATATTCCCTTTTTTTTTTTTTTTGAGGATGCAGAAACTGCCTTGGTGGAGTCATAGTAGGCACCACATCACCAAGGGCCCCATTGAACTTACCTTCACCCCAGCCCAAGATTTCATTAAGACTGTGCCAGACGGGTGTTCGTGTCGGGCTTGAATTTCAGCCCCACTCATAAACAGGCTGCTATATTAACTTGTTTAGGGACAGCTGCCCGTGGTGTAGATTGTGTATGTGTATTTGTCTATGTGTCAGTAAATCGGTTTTGTTTGCTGTGTGTGTGTGTGTGTGTGAGTGTGTGTGGCTTTTTATGTTGGTGCATGGTATTTTTTGATCATAAACAAATGGTATATGTTCAGATCTTTGCACATACACAATGATTTCAAAGTCAACATCTCATATTGTAACATTATTAGATTGCTGTCGGTGAAAGTGTATGTCAGTCGCAGCCCAAGGAAGACTGCAGGTCAGCTACTCATTTGCAGGCAGCAAGAAATGCTCTCCTGATGTCCTTAAATGCTTCAAGGTGGAAATGCTTTGATTTGGGGGTTGGAAATGTTTACTACTGTTTTTATATACAGGGTGGCGCCATTTCCCAAATCCAATAGAGAGACACAATGCTCAAACCCCTCGGTGGTGTATCGTGAGACTTCATGAAAGTCATCTTCTATTTAAATTCCAATTGTTTATCTTAGGACCTCACAAAATGCCACTCACCCATCCATGTTAATCCACCTTTACCAGCTGAGGAGTGACAAACTGAGGGTGGAAAAACTCCAGCCAAGGACATCATTGAGCTTGACTCCTCTAATGGTTTTTTACATTGTTCATATCGGATTAGCGATAGCATTCTTGGCCAGTACTACTGGAGCCTCGCTAACATGTAGCATTGTTGGCAACACCGCTACCTAACTGTATTGCAAACGTAGGCAGCTGCTGCTCTGCTACACGGGACAATGGCTCACCCATACCTATATGTGTGTGTGCTTTGAGGGGCTCCAGTTCCTTGGTCGAATCATGAGGCTGTAATAGGAGAAATAGGCTATATTGGTTTGAGATTGCTTCCTATGTGGAATGCTTACTGTGTAATCCTCTGCTGACAGATAGGCCTATATGGCATCAAATACACTCGCCCCTTCTCTGGCACTTGCTGAGGCGCATGACAAGAATGGCTGATAGATATTTTTTTATCCCAAGTTGCTGTCAGTAACTTGGTGCACAACTGATCGTAGTTATCATGTTGCCTACAGGCTGCACTGTTGGGAATGTTCCCTAATTCTTTGGTTTTCTCTTTAGGAATACTTGCTGATAGATACTAAATGGGAAAGTGGTGGTAGAATTTAGTCTCACTTGTCACATTTAGAAGTGTCTTAACAAGATTTTTTTGGTCGTGACATGTCAATTGAAGTTGAATTGAACAGCTCTTCATTACAGTAACAGTCTCAAAGGGCTTATCAGGTTATATTATAGAAGAACATACTCCTATTTAGAAAACCCTCTAAGTCATATGATGTTAGAAATGCCTCCAGATGAGGGATTCTTATACAGTATAAAACAAAAAGATGTATTTGTCTGTAATTACAGTAGGTGCTGATCACCAGATGCAGTTAGCTAACCTCGGCCCAGAAGGGACTTTTTCTGTCTCTGATAGATAAACAGCAGCTGTGGTTGTCAGGTTTTGTTTTTTCACGCCACCCTGAGGGGCCCCAGCCCCTATCCCCAAGGTTCTGCTCACCTCTGGTGAGGATACTTTATCTAAAGTGTAACTTTATTATCTAAGGATCTTGTTGCGTACCACCCCGCATGGAATAGCATTTCTCACCTATTTTCCTCATGCTACCCTTCCTCCACCCAGTTTAAAGTTACACTGCCTTTCGGGGCTTGATCTCCCCACATTCTCTATGTGGCAGGTTCATGGCATCTAAGAAGTGTAAGTGTGTTTGTGTTTGAGCAGTGTTGGTATTGGTTGCCATGGCACCACGGCTGAGGGGATGTCCAGGAAGCGTGCAGTGAGGTGTTATTACAGGGCCTACACAGCTGGATGTCTTGACCGATCAGGACGGTCAACACGTCAGTCCAGTGAGGTGACAGACTTCAGTTCACATGTCGGCTTGTAAACCATGATGAAAGCCTTGTCATTCTGGTAGTTTTATCTCCGCAGGTCCTCAAATAAACACAGCATTAAAAGTGGCCCTGTATTTTCATGCCAAAACTATATATTTTTAAATGATTTACTATGTTTGATCCTTTTACGGTATAAAGGGTTCTCTGGCAGCGAGGGAGCTTAAAAAAAAATAGATTTTTCTCAAAATAAATTCAAAGCAAACATAGTTGCAGTAATTGAAACTTATTTTATTCTACCTGTGATTTGCCTTTTTTGCTATGAAATAGATGAGCTGACTAGGTGAAATAATTGTTAAATGTTTGTGTATATAACCAGTTGCTTTAATATTTTTAAATTCTAATAATTTGAAGCATGCTGAGCCAATGCGGCTAGCAGTGGAATTATATCATTATATATTATATGACGTCCCTGCATTTAACACCTTTAAGTTTTCCGCCTTTTTTCGCATGCCTCCTAGGTAGATTGTTCTTCATGAATATTTTCATAGGGAAATGATAAAGTAGTTGTAACTCTATGTATTGATAGGTTTTCCAAATGTGAGCTGTCGCTTGGGGCTTGTGGGATTGCAGCAAAAATGTTCTCTGTAATCTAATGGTCTTAACACTTAGGCACATGTACAATACAGATTCTCTGTCCTTAAGACTGACACGTGCTCCTTGTGTCTTGAAGGGCAAGATTCCACTTTTCATACTGGTCCTTGGGTCAAAATATGCTGGACCTTTGGCTGAGTGCCACTTGCTTTTACTCTTTTTGGAGGAGATCTGGTTGCGATTTAATGGCTCCTGTCAAAGCTGAGCATTAACACATGTTCTTTTTGTTCTGCCATCTTGTGGCCTGAATGTTGTTCTTTGTTGCTCCTTCTCATTTGAGGGAATGCATACAGTCTGCTGGCTACACAACCTGCTGTTAATTTGTACTATTCTGGTAGCACAAGTCTTACATTACACCTCGGCTACCTAATTGACCGGTCCTATTTTCCAGCTCGTGATGAGATGTTGTTTCGGATCTGTTCATTTAACATGTGCTCCAAAAGTTCCAATTGAATCTTTATGATTGCTTTAGAATCTGTCAGTGACAGCAACATTTTAACATATGTGCTCAATGCCTGTGGAAATACACTATTAAACAACACTCCACACACTCAGAGCATTACATGGCTATCAGTGTAATGATGGATAGATTTTATGTGTCTAATATCCTTCACTGAGATGTGTCACTGTCCTCTTCAAAGACTTAAGGTTCTGCGTCCACAGCTGTTAGAAGGCATGATGGACCTTGCTATTCTGGACTGTCGTCTGAAAGAAAGGACGCCTGCAGTTGTTTCAAAGCAAAACCATAGTTTAAATCAAAATGCTACCGCTGATCCAATATATATATCCTTTTTTAACTGATATGATACCTGGATTATTTTGTTGTCAATGTTAAGCTTTTCACATATGTATTATTGTAGGGTTTTGAGTAACAAGAAGTTGAAGTTGAATCCCAAATCTTTGTCTGTGATTATGTAGAAACAGTGATGCATAGTTAGACAGTTGGTCCACAAGGGAGGGTCACCAGTCCTGTACCAAGTCCAGAAGTTGGCCTGGTAGAGGTGCCAGTCAGTCCACTTCCTGAGCACTGCCGAGGTGCCCTTGAGCAAGGCACCGAACACCAAAACTGCTCTGGAGCGCTCGCTGTGGGCAGCCCCCTCACTCTAAGACCTCTCCATTAATGCATGTCCATAGGATCCTGTTTGTGCATGTGTGTGTATTTCGGCCTATGTTTGTGTTCATGTTCATTAAACAGAGTGTGAAAACTGAATTTCCCCTCACGGGATTGATAAAGTATAAATTATTATTATTATTATTATTATAAATGGTCCTACTTTGTGCATAATTCCTGAACTCCTAGTCAACAAACCATTATTAAAATGTAATTTGTGTTTGTCTATTTTAACAGTAAAGCTTTTGGCTATATGGCTTTTTCTCAACTGTGAATATGAAATGGCCTAAATAATTCCACATTTTCAGGCAGTGCTTGTGCCCTTTGTTAGCATTGTTTTCTTGTCAACCTTTCATGTAGAGATGATCCTCAGTTTGTGTTTCTCTCTCTCTTTCTTTCTGTGCCTTAACAGTTGAGAGTCACCGTCTGGTCCCTGTGCACTAAAGCAGTGTCTTTCATCAAGTATCCCAAAGCATGCCAGAAGGGTGGGTATGAGAATAATATGGATTTATTTTATTTTCTCCCAGCTCATGACTGTATATGTATTACATGGAGTACCTGAGGACAGGGCCAGTGGTCTTAGTGCTTCTGCGTGCCCCATGAATCACATGTCGTTCTTTACCTTGTGGCGCAGCCCCCTGGGTATGTGGCCCAAACTATAGTCCTCGTTGCTGACAGCTGTACCCCTCTTCAGTAAATGGGGCATGCTCCTCATAACAGGCCTGTCAGCAGCTTGGGGAAAAATGACGGTCCATGACGCTCCCCATTTTCCGCATGCAATACTATGCCCTTCTGAAACCCGTATATCCTCACAGCCGTCGTATAAATAATGTGGCCATGATGGTCACATACCAGTGACCCGGTGGTGCCAAAGTGTCACATTATTAGATTGGATGTAATACACACACACACACAGCCTTTAATAACAAGTTCATTACCTAGTAAATAGCATCAGCTGCTTAATGAGGAATCCTGAATAAATATGAATATAAATATGACTGATGAATAAAATCTGATGATGCATGCTTTCTGAAGACTCTACCATACTATTCTAACATTTTTAAGTCATATTTATTTATTTATTTTAGTTTTTGTTCCTATTAGTATATTATACTCATTTCCTTCTGGCTGTAACTATGTCATTGTAATATTCTTATTGTTTAGTGATAATACGCAACGACCTGAAGTGTCTGTAAAATGATGGCTTTCTCCCGTCATCTTTCAAACACAGGTATAGATTTCAGCAGAGATGGCTGCTACATGGCTTTGGCTGAGCGTCGAGACTGCAAAGACTACATTAGTGTATTTGTATGCGATGACTGGCATTTACTAAGGGTAAGCGGACTGTTTTATTTTTTATTACCATGACATTCACATTTCAATAAGCTGTTAGGATGTTAGTAAGCAACATAGAAGAACAATCTGAATCATTTGAATTGTGATATAGTTGATGTATTTGAGTCTTTTTTTGTCTTATAAAGTCATGCAAAGAAGGTAAACTGTGTTTTTCCTCCCTGGAATGCATAGTGTAAATGGATTTCTCTTCACTCTGTTGCAGCATTTTGAGACTGAGACACAAGACCTTGCAGGGCTGGAGTGGTCCCCCAATGGTTGTGTCCTGGCAGTGTGGGATAGTTGTCTGGAGGTGAGTCATTTGCTTTAAAGACACAAGATCAGTGAAAGAATAGGATGTCATAACTGACCTGTTGTATGTTTTAAAACATACCGTAATTACTATTTATCCTTCAGTGTAACACCATTGAAGTTTCAGGATTGAATACACACTTGAAAAGAAAAATGTAACAATGGTCAGTTGAGCGTTAAATACCTCTGGGGTCTCTTTAGTAGGCTGACATGTTTTTTTACATCAAGCATGTATTATAATATTATCAATAATTATAATAAGAAAACATGTAAAGTGTCATTCTCTAATATTATTAACATATATCTAAGATTAGACTTTGTTGACCTCATGAGGGTATTTTCAAATTACATGTTATCAATTTGGCAGTGCACACCCATTCAACTTATTTTACTTATCTTCAGTGTCAGTATTTCATAAAACAATCCCATTTAAAAAGTGTATTGTTTTACAAAGCTGTCATCTCTTAAAAAATGAATTAAAATCTAGTGCTAGACTTTTTTTTGACACGCTGACATTTCCATGTTCAGCAGAACGTTCAAATAGATGACCCACTGTTATTGTGAGCCATCCTTATTGTATAAGTATTGCAGTTTGCAAAGTTATCAAGTCTGCCGTCGACAGAAACATCATGATGAATAGTGCTGTCATTTCATGTGTGTTTATCATCCCTGCAGTACAAGGTGTTGATGTACTCCTTAGACGGCCGGTTGCTGTCAACCTACAGCGCCTATGAGTGGTCACTGGGTGTGAAGTCTGTGACCTGGAGCCCAAGCAGTCAGCTTCTGGCTATTGGCAGCTATGATGAAAAAGTAAGGACGTCATCTGAATAATGATGTCTGATTAGAGAAAGATATGATATCACTTTTAAGCTTGCCACGACATAATGTATACAAAGTTCTTTATTAAGCCACATGTTTATGGTTGATGACAGTGAGAAAAAGGATATCACATTAAGGCTTGAGAGCTCGCTCCACTGTTTTGAGTTTGAACTGCAGTACTGATTTGAAACGCTAGGTGTCAGAGTTACAAATTGCTCCTTTAAGTGTTCTAAAGACTAGAAGGGCTCTTTATGAGTGCAGTCTGAGAATCATTTACCATTCATTTAGTTTTGTGCTTCCTCCACAACTGTCACGCTCGACCTGAAGAGTTGTATTAAAAGATTAGATTCAACTTTTTTCTTTATTTTACACCTACATCAACCACAATCCTAGTGTCATGCTTGTAGCAGCTACTGTAGACTAGAGCTACTAGTCCCAAACATAGATGATCAAACAGAAGACCTGAGACCCAACTGTCAGACTCAAATGACAAAATTAAGACACTTTGCATAACAGAATTTTTTATATATTTCAAGTTTGTGTACATTTTCTATGTCAGTTAAAAGGAAATTACAATACCTGATACTCTTTCATCAGGTCCGCATCCTCAACCATATCACTTGGAAGAAAATCATGCAGTTTGAGCACCCAGCAACCATCAACAACACAAAGGCTGTGAGTATGTCTGAGCCTTCACGATGAGCTTGTCATCGCTGCAGTTCAAGAGTTGATTGTTCTTGTTGCATTTCTAGGTTGTGTATAAGGAAGTGGAGAGAAGACCAGCTGTTGGAAGTGATGACCTGTCGCTACACAACATTTCAATTGGCACCACCCTCTTCAACACCCAGAGCAAATGTATGTAAGACCTTGCCATTTGTTTTTTTTTGTTAAAGCAGAGTTTGGCTTAAACTTCTGTGGTCATGTAACCAACTTTGTCTAATCACAAACTCTTAAATGTTGTGGCTGCCAACACCAGACGAGATCTGCCCACCGCCAGTTCAAATTTCTGTGACCAAACCAGATGCGGACCGAGCCAACCCAAAGATTGGTGTGGCTGCTTTGTCATTCAGCTCAAACAGTCGCTATTTAGCCACCAAAAATGGCAAGCATTCTAACAACTTTCACCTAATTTCTGCTGCAATGCCAGTGATCCATTGCTCCATACGCTGAGAATGACCTTTAATGTGAATCTGTCTTTCTCTGACTATAGACAACATGGCCAGTGCTGTCTGGGTGTGGGACATGCAGAAGATGACCCTGGAGGCTGTGCTCGAGCAGTCATCAGCTGTGCGTTGCTTTCAGTGGGACCCACGGCGCCCCCGGCTGGCTCTGTGTACTGGCAACTCCAAACTCTATCTGTGGTCCCCTGCAGGCTGCGTTTCTGTCCAAGTCCCCACTGAAGGTAACAAACTGAAGCCATTTGGACATATGAGTTAGTCATATTTTCTTGATAATTTAGGAAAAAATTCAGGATGTGGTGAATGCTGAATCACATGTCACATTAACCCTAGACTTAATCTAGGGTCAATCAATCCATCTTTATTTGTATAGCGCCAATTCATAACAAGTGTTATCTTGAGACACTTGACAAAAAGCAGGTAAAAGTCTTTACTCATTGCTATATTACAAAGACTCAGCGTTAATCCATCATGAGCGTAGCACTTTAGCAACATTTAGCAAAAGTTACTGTGGCAAGAAAAAACGTCATTTTAACAGGCAGAAATCTTGGGCAAATCCAGGCTCATGATGAACAGCCATCTACCGAATCTGCGCCGGGGTTGAAAATGGGATAGGGGGAGATAGGAGAGGATGCAGGAAGAAGGATAGGAAAACAAGAGGTGGGGGTGAGTGGGTTGGTCGTTCAGGCAGCCCGTCCAACAATGATCTAGAGGAACCTAAGAGAGCTCAGGAACATGAATGGTTCACTTTAATTTACATCATGTTTATTGCAGCTGCATGAAGAAGCTTCTGAATGTTGGCAGCAAATGGTCACTTTTTCACAATGAAAATAATCACCTGAAGAAGACCTCTCGCTGAAACTTTGTGATCGTGACGGAATAAAAAACGATTTGTGGCATTTTAGCAAGTGTGCAGGCATAACTCCTGCCTCAGTCCACTTTTTCACAACGCATGACAATTTTGTTTTATGCTTTTGTTTGGTTTATATGTAATATAAATGATCATAAACACTTGCCTCTCTTCCTTCTATGCTTCCAGGTGGTTTCCAGGTCCACTCACTAACCTGGCACTGCAGTGGAGACTCTCTGATCCTGCTTTCCAAGGAGCAGCTATGTTTGTGCTACATGGATACTGAACAAGAGGAAAAGTGACACTCACAAATACACAGGTCTTGTGGAAAACAAACAACTGGATTATTATTCAGTTGTTTTTTTTCATATCCACTTAGTGTTGAGTACATGAATGTGATGACCAAGAGACTGGTCCGAGCACTCCTCCTGAAAGATCTCAACCTTTTCATGCTGAACTGAAAGTGTTCATAAAGGTGTTTATGGAGCGCTCAGTGCTGGTCACTGGGATGTTCCAAAAAACATATGGACAGCACTTATTCCTCCTAAAGGGCAAATAATGGACAAATATCACATTTTCAATAGTAAAATGAACAATTTAGCTGTAGTTCCAAACACTGTGAAAAGATAGTTTACAAGGTATCCTTGGTAATATTTATGTTCTTTTAATATCAAGTGTTTTTAGTTTCTATTGTGTAATTATTTTGAATAAATTTTGTTTAATGAAGTAATGAAGCTTTTTGAACAGTTTGTGCACTTAGCTCAGTGAATCTTCAAGAGTTCATGAATCCAAAAATGAAATATTGCCTCACTTCACAACACACTGTGTCCTTAGTAATAATGTAGCCATTACAAAAGGTCCAGGAGGATTCAAGAATGTAATACTAAATGCTCGCAATTTTGTTCTCTAAAAGTGAGATTAGCATGCTGAAATAATGTATTAGTGAAAGGAATTTGTGGGTTATATTTAATTGCAGCTTACTTTCTTTTTGTGACAAAATGTTCCTGTTGTGTCACAAAGCTTCACAAACATTTTACATTTGAGCGAGGAGTCTGCTCAGTGTAGCAAAGACTTGACAATGAAGTTTCATTGTGTATTTCTTGAATTATTGCACCTTGTGCAGTTCTTTGTGAAACGTGTGAAGCATTATGTTTTATCTGGAAACGCTACATCGTAACTGATTTATTAGCTGAACCATTACGGTCAAACTGCAAGGACGTAAGAACAACAAACAGGTCATGTTAGCACCATACTATGTTAACTCAATGTATTATCAGTCTAAGTGATATCTCTTTTATAAAAGCTTGAAATGTCACTTTATTACTTTATTGCAGTACAAACATAATGTAAATTAACTTCTTAGAAGAACAAAGATTAGAACAGTGGTCTCAACCACAACATGTTAGCATTTATTATTTCCAAGGTGGCTACTGTGCTGCAAACATGTAGAACAAAAAATAAACCTTTGCATGTTCACAAAAACTACTTAATGTCTTATAATAACTCTTAATAAAACACTTCAGAACTGGCAACAAAATCTGCATTTGTTGAAGCGTTCATTAAAATATGAATTTGTCAACGTAAACAGAAAATAAATAATACCTGACTAAAATGTACTAAAGATTTAAGGAGACTCTTTAAAAAAAAAACACATCTATCATGCAAACTCAACATGCAGGAGCATGCACATGTTCACCAGGAGAAGGCATTATTGAGACAATTATTCATTGGCATTGCTTAGCATGAAATAATGGCCTATTACCTTTGGTAGTACAATTTTGAAAATAAATCATGTCACTACATACAGTAAGTGGTAAAAAAATTGAAGCAAAGCTTTGAATCTACTTTGAATGTGCCTCAATCCAAGTTACAGAACTTTGAATACAACTTACAAACATAAAGACAAGTTTTACAATTTCATGTAGCATGAAACACCTGAATCATAGAAGAACATTGAAGCTATTGTAGTTTATGCAGCCCCTCAGGTATTACATGAGCTCCCTGCTCTGACAGACAATGACATTTTTATATAACCACTGAAAGCACAACATTGGCCATTAAAAGAGAAAGGTCACAACTTGTTATTCATCCTTTAAATTTCAGTGTGAAAAAGGAATCCCATCTGTTCATTTCCACAAATAACACAGATAATCAGTATAGACTTGTAGACCACCATAATTCATAAGTATTAGTTTCACGCATTAGTGTATTTTAAATGTTTGTAGCCCTATGAATTAAAGGCCTTTTATAATTTTCAAACCATCCTTAGTGCCTGGACCAGGATCATTCTTACCAATGTTTTTTGATCTTAGGTTTTTATTAGTTCATACAGTCCGTCTACAGTTGATTAAAGAAGGAGCATGATACTTTAAAACACTCATTCTAACTTAAAGGCAGGGTTGGTAATTTTCTCCAGACACAGTTTTTGAGATTTTTGGTTGAAATTGTCTTTAGGTCCTGACAGACATTAATAACTCATGTTATCTGCTACGTCATCTGTAGCAGTCTTAAGCCTGTAAAGACCTCGACCAATGTCTGCCACGAGGTACCAATCTGATGACCAATCAGACGCCTCCCTGTCTCCCTGCTCGTTCTCTAACACCATGCATGCACGAGCCCACACTGAAAAAGCATGAGGTGAAGTCCGCTTCTGGAGCTTGTGCATGTAAGTGACGGGCGTGGTTTTAGAGGGAGCACAGAGGGGAGGGGGTGGGTGCAGACGGAGCACTGAGGGAATGCTACTTTTCCAAAATGACCAACCCTGCCTTTGAGTACAAGGACTATGAATTATTGAGAGTGCTGTGTCCTTTCTCTCCTTCTAATGTCACATACACTCATGAAGGCCCATGGGCGTAATTGCAAATGTGCAAGAAACTGTTGGAGAAAAAAAGAGAGTAGGGGCGCAAAACACACAAGTAGACAGTCCATGCAGAGCTGTGCATCGTCTACCTACAGTACACTGACTGACCACTTGTCTGGACAACCGACTTAAGGAGGTGTTGACATCTCATTGGACCGACTCAGACACACAAACGCAGACTCATTTCTTATTTCACTGTAGTCGAGCAACAGCTTCCCCTCAGTCAGCACAGTGTAACACAGACACATGGGTTGATCTCCTTTGTAATGCACAAGAACAGTGGATTTTTAGAAGCCGATCTTGCCACGGGTCATAGAGTAGCCCAACTTGGCCTCATTGTTGATGAAGGACATGATGCCCAGATAGGTCTCGATGAGCAGGGGCCTCTCCAGGATCAGGACGCCATTGGCCCGACCTGGGATGGGGTGCTCCTTATGGGCTTTCTTTACGGCTTGCACCAGCTGAGTCCTGAAGTTGTCCAACTTTTTATGTAGAAGAGAAGAAAAGTGACACAAGGACATCTTCTCAAACACTTGATTTAGTATCTATTGACATCTATACACATCATTTATGTCAAGAATAAAAGCTATATCTTTTGGGAGCTGTTCTCGTGTGGATTGAGACTCCACAGCTAAAAGTTCTTGCTCCATTGTAACATGTAGTAATGCTAATGGCTCTGAATGGAAATATGAACATCGGAAATTGCTCAGCTGCGGCTTTTTCTTGGCTATAAGTAGTCATGACTATACTGTTTAAAATCACATGAATAACTAGCTTTCTTTTATTAGATGAATGTCTTGTTTTAAGGTAGCAATCAGACTATTGTCATCAGTTGGGCCCTTTCCGAATAGCCACAGTTCAGTATGCAGTACGTACTTTTCAGTAAGGAGTTTCAGTATACTGAACTTTCGTGGTCATTCAGTATGCATTTTTTGGGTCCACCTCAGTATACTGAACATTTCAGTATGGATACTAACTTCCAGGTTTCATGCAGTATGGATCGGATGCGTGCTTTCAGGAAATGAATTGTATTTTACCACCCACAATGCTGTGCGAAATTAAACGTAAATCGTCATGTCACGTCCGCCTCCAAATCAAAACAAACGAGCATGGATTAATTTAATCTTAATTCAAAGTCCCGACTGAAATCGCTACTTTTAGTTAACAAAAAATTAACAAATGTATACATTATTATAAAACCTTTACCCCTCTATTAAATAATGTCTTTATTGGTTTAGTTTATATATTACTGTCTTTCATTTGTACTTTCCTTTATGAAGGCTACTGTATGTTATTTAATCTGTCTTTTACTTGATTTACATTGTGATATTGTTTTTGGTTTACCTGACTGTATATGCGCATTTCTCTTCTTGAATAAAGCTAAACAAAAAAAACAAAAAAAACGAGTGAATGCTGCCGGTTCGGGAAACGTAAATGACGCCACTTCCTTACTGAATGAATCAGACGAAGCAGGAACAAATATCTGCCTACTGTGCGCGCCAACTGAATAGTAGGTACTAAACAGTATACAGCACGGATAGTAGGTACTGTCTGCTGCCTACTGACAGATTGAGTAGGTACTTGATAATTCGGATACAGCCCTGGGACTGTGACTGCAAGGGTTGATTCTAGAGGTCACAATTCATATTTTCTGAAAATTCAGAAAACTAACTCCAAAACAAGTAAAGTAGCTTTTATTCCTCAGATGTTTTAAAACCATCAAATAATCTCTTTGGTTGATTAAAACAGCTTTTTTGGGCCATTTGTGCCTTTATTGGGGAGAGACAGGAAATGTTGGGAAAAGAGAGTTGAGGATAACTTGGCCACAACAAGTACCTTAGCTTCTGCACATGGGGCGCACACTAAATCCACTAGGGTAAACTTAGGCGCCCCCAAACTACATTTAAAGCTTTGCTTAGAGATAGCCAAATGGATTATACCTGGCAGAGGGATGCCACCTTCTCATCAGCACGGGCCATTGGGTGCTCTGTGAATGTGGCATAGGGCATGTCTGTGGACCAGGGGTTCCAGCGGTTTAAAAACGAGGCCCGGGGACGTTTGTCCCATTGGACTCGAATCCCATAGCCTTCTCTCCTGCAAAAAAAACAACAGAATGAGAGCAGTGTATCACTATCTGCTCTATCAGTAAACCAGACCTCATCTGTTTAGAGAGAAAAAAGATTTTAAATCAGACATTACTCTCTTCCTATACTAAATAAGAATAATACGAACTTAACTGCTTGAGTTATTCTTACAAATTGTGTAATCACTGCAGAACTGACAAAACCTGTTTGCTTACTTGTTTAGAGATTTGGGTGGGAACTCAAACTCGCCCACTGAAATTGTGTCTACAGCATTGAGAGAGATCCTGACAACCTGCTGACACAACAGGTTGATGAAGTCATACTTGCACACCAGCAGGGACCTGAAAACACAACCAAAGGTAGTCAAATGGCGTGTCAGCAGAAATGTTCAATGTCATATGAGGTATTTCCTCTAGCCTATTTTTTCACATAATATCAGTTTGACTTACCGATCAGTGATAAGAACAAGTCTCTCCCTTTCATTGTTCCAGTGGTCAACTCTGTAGAAATGGACAAATATGCCAGTTTGTTCTGACAGTCATAAAGAACATTTTTTTACTTGAAGCAATTATGCTGTTGTTTGAGTTACAGGAGTGAATGAAGGCTTAAAAGAACATAACAAGGATTAAAATGTTAGGTCACTGGGGAAAAAAAACATCTAGCCTGTTAGCCATCCAAAGCTGATGTGAAATTGATTTGCCTGCATAGGTATGTGTTCTTGTAACAATAAAGTCTGTAAGTTACTTCATGTTTCAGTCTGATAATACAACAGTGATGGGCTGCTGG